CATGAAAAACTTTCGTAGGACGTATTTTCTTGTAAAGTTCATATTTACTGAGATATCGCACTTTGACGCACTAATGAGCAACCCTGTATATAGTTTATGGAGGGTACGGCAACAACGCTCGACAGACGATTAATGAGGTGTTTTGTTTCGTTCTAATTTTTCAACTTTTGCAAGCTTTTAACGAAATAGAAACAGATCGAAAAGGGTGTAAGTATTGTTTTATGTTTATGTATTGTGATATAAATGCCATTAAGTCCAATAAATAAACAAGTCTGACAATTCTCAAATGTCACTCGACAACGAATAATTTAACGTTTCTCTTCGCCACCATCGGTAGTTGACTTCATCTATGATTGAACTCGCCTTTGAATATAAAACTAACTTAGTTTTATATTCAAAGGAACTCGCGAATAGCCACAGACAAGTGGTAACGTACAGAATATAAAAAGCTATTTATACCTTTGCAATCCCATAAACATTTCTTACATTGTTTTATATTGTCTTTATTTAAGGCGTATGTCCATGATTATTACCTGGAAAGCTATTATATTGTTGCAATCTATAGATATTGACTATTAAATGTAAGTAGACCTAGCCTTCTCTCGATGTTGCCATATTGTAAGGTAAAAACATTGACTGTCAAATAACCTTCAGTAGACGGTCTCTGTCGCGTATCAAATTGGGGGCTACAGAGTTGGTGCATTTTACAAAATGGCGGAAAACATTCTTTCCAATTTAAATGTAATAATATGTTCATGTTTTAAACAGTGAGCATAACAGTCACAGCAAAAACAGTGAACTAGAATGTCCCTGCGGCAAATGTTATTCAGGTAATAAAAAAATCTGATCCAAGTGCAAAGTTTCTAAAGAATAGAAACATTCATCTCTTATAAGCCATTTGTGGAATAATCCGGGGTTTCTGGTGTGTAAGTATTTAAAAAGGCATTTAGAAACTGAACACTGGAAGCGTAAAGTAGATAGACATGATTAAATTTTAGGACTTCCGGGAATATGTATTACAGGTACCTACAGCTCCATGCAATTTGTGATCTAAGTTTCACGTCTTCGAGTCTTGCTTGAAGCTTTCCAGGCTTTATTCGTTGTGTTATCACTTTGCGTTTCGTACTTTTTTATGTTGCTTTCCCTCTTCAAGAAAATGTTTTGATTTTTTTTTTACTTGAGTAGGATTCCCTTTTGTTTGATATGTTCCCTTTTCAGTTTTTGTCTTTCTTGTTTCATTAATATCAAAGTAGCTTTATTCAATATTGTTTGAGATCCGGTGGTATCTAAATTGCATGGAAAATACATAGATAGCTATATTTTTTCACTGTGAAATTAGGTAATCAGTTTTTAATATCTGTTCAGTTTGAATAGGTACCTACTTTTATTTAGTTTCATTTAGAAATATTAATTTTACTCCCGTATGAATCGTTTTCTAAACTTATTCATTGATTATTACTAACATTAGAAAATTAATGTTATTGGCCTACCCAACTAGCTAACATGCATTTACATGTTAACAAAAACCACACAATTCTGTGCAATCAGTTACAAAATATTTGTCGAATATCAACTACACAGGGCAGTAAAGTGCAATTTGCTTAAACGAATCGTCAAAAGCTAACAATACATATTCTTATTCATTTATCATTCTCAAGCGAAATCAATAAATTATGTCGTAAATCTACTATGACACAGACCTGAATGTGCACATACTTTAAATGCTGAGTAATCCGCTATGCAAAAGTATCTCTTATCGGTAACTGGAGTTTTGTGCCCGAGTACTAATTTTTTTTGTGAAAACAAAAATGATTGTCCTATCAGATAAGCATTCATCACAGCTGGCAATTGTATCTGCTCACAGTGTTTTGAATCCAAACTGACAAAATTGAAAAGTGATTTTGAAATATATGTGCAAAGAAGTATTCAGCATGTAGATGATTTCAGGGAAGGCGACAATAATGTAGATATAGAAAATGTTAACTCAGTCGTCGGTGATTGGATCCAGATCAAGCGTGATGGCAGTTTAGTGGGATTCTTTTTATATGTATTTATCACCAAACTTCTCCAGCAGTCGGTAGATTATTTTACAAAATATATTAACAACAGACTCACCAATCGAGTTATAACGCTAACGTATTTGTTTTAAACTATATTTAATTTAAATAATAATTGCTAAAAAAACGATATACTTACTACAAAATTTATTTCTGATGGTAGGATAGTAATAAAAACTGATTACTTTTGTTAACTCTATTTTGTTTTGTGTGCTGCATTATAAGCAAGTGATCTAACTTGAACATTTCTAATTAGTGGTTTTCACAGGACAAATTCTACATCTCAGTCAAGCTCTCCAGGAAACAGTGAACAACAGTCGACGGCCCAAGGAAACAGTATGCCTCAGCAACAACCCCAAGCAAATATTCTAAGAGCGACGGCAACTGTTCATCCATACTCTGTCGATAACAGGGGAATTACGGTAAGTTTTGTACTTTATTACCAAAGGTCAACGATCAAGTAAAGTTTGAAATAGTAGCAAACATTAATTGCATTGAGTTTTGCAAAAGACATTACCCATTGATTTGAAGCCTCAAGGAGCTTCAGTACTTGGCCAAGTAGCAAATGAAAGCAAGATATTTAAACATATGTAGACTCGTCAAGCTGCGGCAGCCGCTGCTATGTATGGTCAAGGAGGGATGGCACAGAACCTCTACTATCCTCCACATTATAATAATGCTAATCAGGCTCCCGTATTGTCAAGCAATTTTCCTGTTCACCCAGACGTGCGACTTAAAAGATTGCCATTTTATGATACAATCGGTAAGGAAATAACTAAAACTTGTGAACTATTGTTTAGATCTGAAACCATTACTTATTTGATCTTAATTGGACTAAATGAAGCATATTTTTAACTCGGAAAACTCTTATAAATGATAGGATTGATATTGTCCAAAGACATTAATAGATAGACGAATCCAGTTGTAAATTATGAATTAAAAATAGGTCGCAGATGTAAACATCTACATACTGTGAACCATTGTTGCTTTATGGAAAATTGTAAACAAATGCATCTGTTTAAGGAGGAGATAGTACCCATGTAACTGATTGACTGGATGCCAAAATTATATATAAAATCATTAAAATGGGTTTTTGTTTTTCAGCTGATTTGATCAAGCCTTCTACTCTTGTTCCGCAAACCAACCAGAGAATGCAAGAACAACCGTTTTATTTCCACTTAACTCCTCAACAAGCCACTGATATTGCAACTTCTCGGGATATTCGGCCCGGAGTTAAATGCGACTATATCAACCAGGTTCAGTTACGATTTTGTCTTTTGGAAACTACCTGCGAGCAGGAAGACTGTTTTCCACCCCAGGTGATTGTGAAAGTCAACAACAAACTATGTCCATTGCCGGTAAATGATTGTCGAGAAAGGTGTACTCGTTAAAGTTATTTTTCAATGCGTTTTTTTATGCAGAATCCAATTCCTACAAATAAACCAGGGGTGGAACCGAAGCGACCACCACGACCAGTGAATATTACGCAAATGGTCAAACTAAGTCCCACTGTAGCCAATCAGATTACGGTGTCATGGGCGGCAGATTATGGCCGAGGATATGCAATGACAGTGGCGCTCGTGCACAAACTTTCGTCGGCCGACTTGTTGCAGAGGCTCCATAAAAAAGGCGCTAAGCATTCCGATCATACGCGCGCTCTAGGTAACCATCTTCAACAGCACTCAAAGCTTTAAAAATCGCTTTTATATCTTAGTTAAGGAGAAACTGAGCGATGATGGAGATTGTGAAATAGCTACAACGAGTTTGCGAGTTTCTCTCATGTGTCCTCTTGGTAAGATGCGAATGACAACTCCATGCAGGGCACACACGTGCGCACATCTGCAATGTTTCGATGCTTCTCTCTTTCTGCAAATGAATGAACGTAAACCTACTTGGAATTGTCCTGTTTGTGATAAGCCTGCTCTGTATGATCACCTAGTTATTGACGGGTAAGATTTAGGCCTTTATCTATTGAATGTCCAAAATCTGTTATCTAGGCTTGTTAACATTTATTTCTTGCAGGTACTTCCAAGAAATAATTAGCTCATCTCTCCTGCCGTCAGATTGTAATGAAATTCAGTTGTTGAAGGATGGTAGCTGGAGTAGTCATACTAATGAGAAGAAAACAGAAAAAGCGTCAACGGCAATTGTAACTAGCATCGCTATCGATGATTCGATTCAAATTATTGAAGACAATGTTGGTGAGTTGGCGGCTTTACTGCGGTTTGTTAAGTGCGATGCTAAAGAGGTGTCAATTTGGCTTTAGAATTCGTTAGTTCAAATCTGGCAGCTACTTCATCTACGGACACGTCCAAAGAGCCTGAGAAGAAAAAAGTGGTGGTCGATCTCACTTTATCAGACTCGGATGATGATGAGCCATTGGCAAAGCGACGGCCACCCCCTAAACCGGACTCAACTATAAAATCTAACGGTAAGTTGTCAGCAAATCCATTGAAGGATTCTGTCTCAAATAAGTCAGATAAGCATTTGAATTTTTGAATAAACTAATTATAGGGGAGGAATCGATGTAACTACGAGGCAAGGTTTTGAATTTGAAGAACTTGAACCGAACTTACTAATTTAACTGACAATGGAACATTTTATTAAAATAATTAACCATCTGTTCACTGTAAGACTTTTCCAAAGGAGCCTTCAATTGGATACTGCGTACTACAAGCATTGGCTATGAATCTCAAATGTATTACATTCATCTATAATGAAAGGTTACTGGCGCGATTGCTTTTCTTTGTTCTTCAATTGGATTCAGCAGCGGAATTTCAATTTTTTTTGAGAATTTATTTTTATGTGCATTTTCCAATTGAAAAATTTTCTACAATAAAATATTTTTTATTCATATAGCAAAAAGTGTATTACAAACGACAGCCTCCGTGCAGGTACTGCAGGCAGGGCAGCTACCATAACGTCCGGAATTGGAGTGATAACATTCGCGGTTTCACTTTTATTATTTTACTCCATCGTTCGAGTTTAACGAGTTTAATTGCGTTACGTGCGCACATATGAAAACTATGAAGGGAACTGAAAGGTATGATGTACGCAGTAAAACTTGGTTTAACCGAGTTATTACTTTAAAAATTATTAAATATGCCGTCAGGAACCAACCACAGCTCTTAATGCGAAATTTCGATCAGAAGTAGAGAGAAACTTTTCATACCATACTTAGAACTCGCGAAGTACACCCGTGTTTTGCTAGTGCATTTTATAACGATGTCACCAAGAACCAAACTGTTGTAAAATATGAGCGGTAAGTACAAATCCTACATTATTTAAAGTTTTTTAAGGTAGCACCTTAAAAACACAGTTACAGAAAGAATTGGCTTCATACATAAAGAAGAAAATATATCCATCAGGCCATCAAAGAAAATGTTTCATCTATAAGAATAATATGTCACGTTGAACTGTTGAAACTTGCGAATAAGAATTAGCAGATATCCGTTGTTTGGTTCATATCTAAGTGTAAATTTAGCAGTGAAAGTTTAATTTCCATTTCTCATTATTTTGTTTTAATGTTGTGTTAAATAAAATATTGCATAACTTAGTTTACTTATCAGTCCAATATGATCATGAAATCTCTCATATTTGGTGTTTTATTGTTAGCGGGACTTCAGCTATTATAAAGTGTAACTAACTTGATGTCAATGTCATTTTTGAAATTGTCACGTTTTGACGTTTGTAATTTTTCAAAAGCGTACATTTGTAAGTATATTACATATATGCTCAAGTGAAACAATGAGTGATGAAAATTCAAGTGCTGCTTTCATGGTATGGTGTTTGTATAAAAGTTGCATATGTTGCATGACATTTGCGCTATTTAAAAGGATCGTGCTTTGCGTGTAGCTGCATCGGGCGATCGCAAAAAATAGACCATTGGAATTGTATGTAAACTTTAAATTATGATCCATAGTTATCGGTAAACCTACGTCATTAACTAAAAAAGTATGTTGGTTACTTTTTAATGGAAATGCTTTAAAAAATTATAATGACAGTGACACTTTAAATTTTTGACTTTTGAGCACGATGTGCGTAAAAGTAAAACAAATGAACAGTAAAGGAAAGTGCTTCTGATCGGAAAATTGCAGTTTTTGATTCATTCGAATAAAAACAATTTTGCGGTCCTGAAGCACGAGAATAGTTTGATGGTTTGCCGCATGCATAATTGTTGGAATCTCTTCAACATAGCAATAAAATGACATTCCTTGATCCCCCATTGCTTGCAGTTGACGTTTGAGACGAAGCCGAGGTTTTTGATTACGTTACTTTAAAACTTTTATTATGCCAATGTGAACTAGTATATAAAAAACATGTCTAAAAATTAAACAATCAAGTTTCTGGTTTTTACGTTGCATAAGAATTAAACCTTTAATCTCCTTTGTCTCAAAGTGTATAGAATGTGACATTCCTTGTTTTTCTCCTGCACTCTTCATTTGAAAATTTCTGAAATATCCAAATTTCGTAAGGTTTTTTGCTAATAAGCATTTCTCGTTGTTTTAGAGATAAAAAGGGAGCGTCGAAAGAAAGCACGTTGGTGATTTTAGAGAAAATCATCGGCATTGTGATTTTACGTATTCTGAGTTACAATAAAAGTTAAAAATCCTCGAGATTTAAAATCTCGACGATCTGCTTTAAGAACAGGTTGTTGGCAACCCTTTTATTGGAACACTGTTCGAAAAAGCTTACAAGCCTTGGAGAATCAACAGAGAACGCTTTTAATTAGCTACTCCATACTTTGCTCTATGGTTTTCTATTGATTTTTACAAATGTGTGGCGCCTATATTTTCACAGCTAATATTTAATTTTCTTATTGACCTGTGCTTGTCTTGAATTGTGTTAAATAACTTCAACTTTTTTCATGATCGTTTTTAAATCCATAAGCTAATCCTGCTGTCTGTGTTCTATTAAAATGGTTTTAAGCCAGTTTTATATACAAACTGTAAGTAATAGTTATATCATTTGAATAAAGTTTTATGAAATTGAATGTCTTTTTGTTTTCAGTATTTGAAACATTAACTATTTGAAAATGGAACGGAAATTGATTGTAAAAATATGATGTTATTTAGGTTTGAACTGAAAACCAATCCCACAACCATCCGACAAATGTTCTTCTTCGGTGTCTTTAGGTGTATTAGTTGTTTAAGGAAATGTTAATCTGAATATGCGAGTGGATAATGTGGTCAATATCGTTTTAATTCCAGAGAATAGCAACATATCATCGTCTAGTAGCAGCCAACAACGAAGTATTACCACTCCAGGCCCATCCTCAGTGTCCAGTTCTGGATACCCGGTAAGTCCTGGAGTAATCAATCTGGATAGCCCTTCGCCACCAAGATCACCACAAGTACAACCTCCACCTTCTTGTATGATGGCAGGCGATGCTCAATTGAACAACGGGAACGCAGCACAGCAAGGTTTTGGTATGTCCACTGGTCCCAGTATGCAGTTTATGCACATGGAAAACGAAGCCAGTAGTGCTAATGTGAATTACACTCAAGGGTATTAATAAAATGTCTATTATGAATATCCTGGATTGCAAATCAATTTAAATGTTATTTTGTGCGAACTACTCAGTGCTATCCCAACTTTGATTGAATGCCACAACGACAAGGTGAGAGGTGATCGATGGACTAGACATTACAAAGGGTTTACATTGATGACATGTAATATAATTGGTTTTGTTTATTTATTATTTCTTGTCGTGTAATTTAATTCCATTAGAAAGTAAGTGTGTAAAAATGTTCAATTTATGCTTTAATATTTGGAACCAAGCCCAAAGATCTGTATTTTACTTTTACTTTCAACAAGTTGTCCTTTAGAAGTAAATATAAGTTCAATATGCTTGAGGCGAATTCATGTTTTCAAAATATTTTTGTTGGGTATGTTGCCGCAAAGTTGTTGTTTAAAAAGGCCGAATTTTCTGCAATTTTTTCTACAATAACAATGCAAATTTAACTGTAGTCCATGAAATATAGGATGATCTAACATACAATAATAATCAAATGTGGTTTTTTGATGTTTTTGTTTTATACGTGGCTTCAACTTACAGAGACATACTGTATATTAAAATTTCCTCTATTCAATTTCAGAATTTGTTCGTGTTTTTGTTGGTAAAAGGTTAGGAAATTCCGCCTGTTGTAAAATCAAAATACTCAACAAAAAGGTTTTGATCAGTTGTTCGTTCACGACTTCACGAACTTTTTCTGGACATTGTATGATCGACAAGTTATTATTTTACGTTTATTAGTTTTTGTATTGTGAGCCTGAAAAAAATAAATCCTAGTTTTTCAATGCGTAACATTTTCAGCCCACCATAAAGTAGAAAATCGAATTTCTTTGTGATGAATCGAATCGAAGTTTTACAACGAAAGTCACGGCATTTTTCGCACAAATCAATTCGGTTAAAAAAATTGCACAGTGAAATAGAAGCTGACAGAGTTTATTAATTGGAGATGTAGATAGTAATAGATACGCTTTTCTACAAAGCCATTACACACGGTTATTAAAATGTCCCTCATAAAGTTAATATCTCTTAGCAACGATTTGCAAAAATACAATGACAGTGACACGTTCAATGCGCGTAAAAGTAAGACAAATGAACAGCAAGGAAACGTGCTTCTTTATGATCATCGCTTCTGATCGAAAAATGGCAGTTATCGTTCATTCGAATATAAAGGTAATTAAATTACATTTAGCTATTTCGGAGCCATTTATAAATTATTAGACGAATAAGAATATTGAAATTATAAAAATAGTGCGTTAAAAAAGTTCAATATTTTATGGTTGCAAAAATTGTCTTCTATTAGATGCTCAAGGTTTTATTTATTATATGGCAATTACACAACTTCAGATTACTGCGACACTATCTTCGTTTCACTCTTGGATGTTACAATCCTGTAGATGTACCGCACTATATCGTCCATCTCCATGCTCTTGAAACACTCCCATCTGGCTGCTACCGCATAGAGCGAATCCAGCTCGTTACTCACTAAAGTGTGCAGCCGTCCACATTGGTCATTCAGCTGATTCTCCAAGTGGCTAAAGTGGGAATTAATCAGCCGTATCAAGTCCAGTTTGACCTTCTCTTCTGGCACTTCCACTTCGGGACAATGTTGTAAAAAATGCGAAACTTGACTGGCCTGCAGTGGTTGGATTTCGACATTGCTTTCCAAATCGGCTGGTGTTACGCTCAGGGATAAATCATCCTTAGAGGAAATTAGTTAGTTTCAATAATAATGAATCGTGTTTTTGGACAAATAAGTACTGTGAGTGTCTCCTTCACTGCCCCAATGAGATCGAATTGATTTTCCTCTTCTAATAAGCTGTCGCTTTCCAACAGTCCCAAGGAAAACCCATTGATGAAAGATATTTGGGTTATTGCAGTTGGGTGCATTCTGGTGCAAATTTGCGGCTTGAGATGATCGGACATTTGGTACACGTAAATCGACCCATCTTTCAGGCCAGCTACCATACACTGTTCATTTCCGCTTATGTCCAGCGAAGTGATCGGTTGGTTCAAAATTTTTCTGAAATTATGTATTACTGTTTATTTGTGTGAAAATAGGTAGGTTTTAAACGTTTTATTTTGTTTATTTTTAGTTGTGCTAAACACACAACGCTTACCTGAAAACGCACAAATCGCTAATTCGATCGATAACACACATTTTGTTGTCTGTTCCTGTTGTAACCAGCAGCCTGTCTCTGTTCGAAGCAACTATTCCTGTAACAGCCGCTGAATGCAAGCAATAAGTTTGCTTCTTGCATTTGGTCGCGCCATCCCAAATGACCACCATCCCATTTAAGCAGCCAACAGCGATATCGTTGGTCGGTTTCAAGCATTTGAGCGCTGAGCAAGTGTGGGGATTGCTAAATTCCACTTTTTCCGAACTGATTAGATTGAACATCACCAAGTTGTCGATACAAATCACCAGCAGCTCATCCGCTGAATAAAATTCCAGCATTGTTACCTCAGCAGATAGCTGCCCAAGCGACTTGGTAACACATCGGTTTTTGGTATCGTACAGAAGAACTTCTCCGTATCGAGTGCCAAGAGCGAGAATCCTTTTGGTGTTGGACTTGAACCGTAACGCCGTAATATCAGCTATGAGTGAAATTGTATGGACTAAGCACGGATTGCTGGGGTCTTTGATGGAGAGGATTTGAGGACTTTCGTTTTCCTGTAACACTGCCAGGTAACTATTATCGTGACACCAAGAAATTTGCTTGATGGATTCATTGGTTTTGGGGATGTACTTTGACATGTTCTTCAAGCCACCACGCTCCAAAGCGTAGATGTGGACGCTTTTCCCTGCAGACGCAAACATTTTGTGCCTAAAAGATTTCAAAATTTGTCAATGTTACATTAGTAAATGACATTGCAAAATACCTGCTGAGTTTAACAGAGTAACATGTATTTAATCAGTGTTAATTTACGTTCAAATGCAATATATTGAGATTTAAAACATTTGTTTTTTTTGCGAGTAAAAGCTGGTTGAAGACGTATAACTTTTTACACAGAGTGCCGATGGAAGCAGGGTACCTACTACGATGTTCCTTTGGATCAAAAAATATCTGGTACTCTGATATTGATGGTCAAAGTTCTTCAAAAAAAATGGTGTGCGTCACGGGACGCTCGACAGAAGTGATAACTTCATAAATTAATAGAAACCATAAAATATTGAACTTGTTTAACGCATGATGGCAAAATTACTTTATTTTATAATTTTAATATTCGTGTTAGTCTAATAATTTATAAATGGATCAGGAATAGGTAAAATTTCATTTAATTTCCTTTTGAATGTAAAATATCTTTTATTTGCAACATTTAACATTCTTTAACGAGATGTTGTACATATTGCTCTTCTTGTGTTTGCGTAAACTCTTCTTCTTGAATTTCTGTATTTTTTAGTCGTAATTTCTTATTTGCTTTGTATAATCTTTGACGTTCAGTTGATGAAAGCTACTTTGTGTTGATCTATTACTTAATGCTCCTTTTTTAGCACGAAATC